GGCAGCAGGCTAAGACAAGAAGCCCAAAAGATCAAGCTTATCTCTGCTCCATCAGTGCCAACATCAGCACCTTGACACTACATGGACAACCAATACCAAAAAGCATTTAGTCTTCAATGGAAAAGAATAGAGAAAACTAGCATAAGGTGCAGCATATTTTTTATTACTCCTTTCTACTTAGCAGACGCATTCTTTCAGCTCTGTAATTATTTGATAAATTAACATTGAATTGGTGCTCATCACATATTTCAAAGCAACAAAGCTTTCAATTTTAAAAGTAAACTGTTCTGACATATTCACCATAAAACTATTATAACCCTTCAATCTCTTTTTGAGGGCTCACAAGATGGAAATGCTTACTTTAAAAGCTGCTTCCACCTCATATTCAGGCAATCTGCACCTTTTATCTGCCCGTCAGTTCATGCAAATACTAAGAACGATTTGAGAAAAATACTGCTGTTAAAGAATGTTAGAAAACTCCCCAAACCTGGGATACAATAAGCCAAGGAAAACTAAGAGCCTTATAGAGGTAATTTTCTGTTCCCACTATTTTCCCTTTTTCCCAGAGAGGTGGGGCTAACTCACCTATAACAGGTAGCTTTGCACACATGCAGCATCTCATAAGGGCACAAACTGTGGCTGAGTTAATATGCCAAAACCCATCAGTTTAAATTTCAGCCACTTGTGAAAAATCATAAAGCAGAGAATCAGTGTGCACTTTAAGCAGAACCCTGATTCAATGCATTACCACCACCTAGCTTAGCTCCACCAGAAAATGGTGACGGGTGTAACAAAACCTAATGCAGACACAAAGACAACATTAGCAACTGTAGTGACCTTGCTTGAAAAATCTAAAAAAATAAGTGACAGGCCTCGCACGCTAATTTGGCACTCAAAATAAAAGGCACAAAGGGAAAAAACCCAAACCAAACCAATAAAAAAACCCAACCTGAAGCCACCACCGAATTTCATTTCAGTCTTATCTGGATGAGTTTCATCCAGCCAGTTTTTATCCACGCACTAATTTCCATTATGTGGGAACTAAATTACTTCTTGACATCAAAAAGGCTTAAAAAGAAGCGATACAGTGAAAAGCTGGCTTTCCTAGAAGTAGCTTGTAATTAGTTCTATTTTTTTTTAACCTTCAAATCTCAGTTTTCTTCAGACCAATTTAAGATTCACTTTGTAACTCTTCATTTCGTTCTAAACTCTTCTCTCCCCAATAAATTGGAATAAGCTGTAGAGGCAGCTCACTGCGTGAACGGAGCATGTTTTCAGAGATGACTGACAGTATCTGGCTAAAAGCTATTTGCAAGTTGCTAGTTAGAACTGTAGTATGACTCCATGTACCCCTTTTTAATTAAAAGAATTCTGCCCATTCATTTTATCACCTTTTTTTGAGAGCCTGAAGAGAGAAAGGGGAAATTTTGTTTGTCATCATCTTAATTTCTTATATAGCAATACGCAAACAATTCTGTTCTGTGTAATTTTCAACAAGGTTCTCCGAATAAAAATATTCTGCTCTGGTTGGAAATACAGACAAAATTTGATCACAAAAATGGAGGTGAAGCATACAGAAATTTCCCAGCTTTTTTATGTTAGACTGCTCGTGTTACTTTATAGAAGTTTTACAATGCTTTTAGGTAATACAGATCAGAGTACATCAATTTCAAAAGCTGCATCATTAATTTACCTCTAAGTTACCTGAAGCTTACTACCAGAAATAGAGAAACTAGATTTCTCTAAAAGCTTTATCCATTCACACCTGTAAATCCATCTGGAATCCACTATGCCCAAAGAAGAATGTATTTTCCGTGCAGTCAAAAATTTAAGCTTATAACATGTATTGATCCCAGTGAAAAGGCCCATCACTTCAGACAGAACTGTTTATTCCATCTAGTAGATGATACTAACACAAGACTTTTTTTGGATTCAACACATTTTGCACGTACCGGCCTTCATACAAACTCTAGCTTTGTATTTCTGCTACAGCAAATATTGTTTTGAAAAACCTGAAACAATCATTTTGTAGCTGTAGTATCTTTGGGTTTTAACCAAGAACTTTTAAAATGACAGCTGATAATGCTACAGCTGAGATTACAGAAAAACCACGTGGAGCAATCATGGGGCTACAGTAATTTATATCAATTAACCATCTCTCTCTAAAAAAAAAAAAAAGCCCAGTGTTCTTGCGATTTGTTCACAAAGAACTACGAAAAATGGGTTCTGTATATGTTTTAAAATAAACTATTCAAAAGTGATTCTTCTGTACCAGAAAGGTTGCTATGTGTCACATTCCATTTACTTCTTAAAAATACACAAGGACTGTAAAATATCAGTACACAGGGATAAAATAGAGATAAATATTAATATACAAATAATCAGCCATGACAGCTGTAACTGCAACAAGTATCTAATACAGCAATATTCACACAAAAACATTAACATCACTAGTTCCTTTGGAATATAACTTACTAACACAGGCATTAGCCATCTAGGCTTTCTTATTTATGAATAATGCTTGGGCTCTTAAAACAGTAGATTTATACAGTGGATTTATACACAATCAGATTTCAAAGCAACAACTGTTTCTACAGGCAAGCTGTCACCAGAATATTTATTTAACCTACTAGTAGTTCACAGCTGATATCATCAATCTCTTTTACTTGACTGCATGTAAGTAGCCAAGAACTCCAAACTGTTGGTCTGGAAATATTTTTCTCTACTTTGAGTTGCCATCCAATTCTATCAACTGAAGTAAAATAAAATCTTGATGCTATTGAGACCATGAAAGGCACTCTACCTTACTGTAACTATTTACTTTGGGTTATGGTTACGCCGCTTACATTTTCAGGGTGTGCCATTTCCACTTTACCTAAATTGCCTTGTGTCCTCATTTTAGTACAAAAAAAAAACTTATCTAAAAGGGATAATCAACATTAAATAGCTTATTAGGAACTCAAGTACAAATATTAGAACTTCAAACAGTTATGATGCTTCCCATATGGCTTAAAATCCAAATTTGACCATCAAGAAAGATACTTTAGTATTTCAGTCATGTTTGATTGAATGCTTACCCTAGTTACCATATAAACAGAGTTTATTCTTGATTCTTATTAAAATACGATAATGTTTGAAAATATCTACCCTACAGGCCATTCAGTCATACTTCCATCAAGTGAAAACACCTTCTTTTCTTCACATATATAGGACAGCCTGTCTTGATCAAATTATAGTTTTACTATTTATAAAATAACTTTCCCCAAAAGGCGTATCCCCTGATATTCCAGAACTTGAAAAATATGGTAAAAACCATTAATGGTTTTTAGGTAGCACTTTCCTTTTCCACACTTACTGAAAGACTTAACAAATTTCATATGCATACATTTCCTTAACACATTAGTTCCTGCCTGAATGCACTGGACCACCCAAATGATGGCTACTTTTGTTCTACGGTTGTGACACAGTGAAATGGAAGTTCAGAAGAGGTTTAGCATTAAAATTTCTAAGCCCACTTTACATGGAATATGCAGAGAAGCAGCTTTCAGGTAACCTGTGCTATTTGAACCAGCAGCGCTGAGGTGCAAAGTCACCTTTACCCCCCCCAAAAAGGGTAGTTCTAGACATTCTCACTCTAGTCCAGCTGGATTTTTTAGCACAGTCTTAGTGCCAAGCACTAGACTACTGAAGCCAACAGCAAAGCTGCTGCCAGCATGAGCGTAAGATGCAGTAGAAACTTGAAGAGGATGATAAGGAGGAAATGCAAAGAGAGTCCTTGAGTAGATGTAGTGTACAATTGACCCTGTGAACCTAGAAAATTACGATAATCTTAAACAAGTCTCTGCTACAAAGTCATTCATAGTAGATCTAACCCACATATGCACTGTAACTCTCAAGAATTATAGTAACACTAACAGTTCTGTCCAACATAGATCAAACACCTTCTTGGCAAAATTTTTACATAACTGAAGCTGAAATTCTCCATGTGAGCCTGTCCATTATTTCTAGGAAAATTTTACTTAAGATTGTTCACCTATTTGCAGAAACAATAACAATCAATGTTAAGCTGATTGATTCTTCAGAAATTTCTTCACTGGAATGCTCTGCTAGCGTTATACAGGAAAGCAAGGGTTTGACTGTCTGATTAAGGTGTCCCCAGCTTCAGAGACACATCTTTTGACCATTCCATTAAAAAAACCCCAAAACATTAATAAAGCCTATAGCAATAGGACAGAAAAATCACACCGAGCAGGCTGGTAACAAGTTTAGCAGATAAATTCTCTAAAAAAGTTGCCCTCATAAGCACGTTTCATTCAAACTACAGAAAGTGCTTGTCTGTGCATTCTGCTTTCTCTCACTGAAGTAAGAGACTTATCAACAGCAAAGCAGAAAGATGACTCCGTGCAAGCAAAGACAGATATTTGTATTACGAAAAGACTGTAAAAATTATGCTCTTGTGGAATTTGCCATAGAAGAATGGAAAGACACTTTTCCTAAAATACAACAAATCTTTGGCGCTGTGCTGATTTATCCTTTGCTGAATGTTGACCTTGGGGTCTATAGTCATCTTGTGAAAATATTTCTACTGCCTTAGCCTTACACAGGGCATGTATTATCTAAATTTCAAATTATATATACTTTTGAATTTCCTGTTTTATAATTTTCTAAGACTGTAAGACAAAGTCCTCCTTTCAAATTACAGCTGCCAAAACAACACTGGATATGGGTTCAGAGCATACCATAACTACACATTCACACGATTGCTGGAAATTTATGGAGACAAACACTTCCATTTAAATCAAGTGTGAAAACCAGCGAGAACAGCAAGGTTGTTCCATATTCGTATGTTTGCAAGGCATGTTTCAATTTTTTGAGCTGTGGAGAGAACAAGAAGCTTACGATTAAGCAAACGGGAAAGCTCTGAGAACATTCATCTTGATGTAAAAACTAATCACACATGACCAAAGACATGAAAAAATATCAAGGGAAAATTAACACTATTAACTATGTAAGTACTGGAAGAGTAGAGTTTTAGTGAAACTAGTTAGACACATTTTGTTTAATTTTTAAGATATATCTCAAAATACCAAACTTGCATAATTGTTTAAAAAAAATTGTTTATAAATGGGATATTGAAAACATTAAATGGCTTGAAATAGACAAAATTCAACTATATTGCTATTTTCAGGAAGAAAGTATAACCTTTTACTATATCTTGTAATCTTCAGGGTATTAATAAAATCAATATATAAATGCAGAAAATGACAAAAGAATATTTGAAATTATTGAAATTACAACCAACAAAGCAAGACAGCTAATGATGGATATGAAAACTGCAAACAGTCTCTGGACTTCACGCATGACTTCCAGGCTTACCACAAGACAAAGATGGTGATTAGAGTATTAACAAAAATTAGCAGCTACTTACATCGTGCGTCAACTCAAAATACTTCTGACAGGCCAACTGGTAATGCATGCCCTTCACCAATTCCAGGATCTATACAGAGGGAGAAAAATGTAACAGATTCAGAAGTAGCAGACGTATGCCTTGTTGATACTTACCATGACAAGGTACTTCACAACAGCCTTGTATAATAGCTCATGGAAATCTGCAGCACATGACATCTTTGACATGTGTGTATCCTACTAATAACTGACAACATTTAGACATACTATGGTTCTTTAAAAATACCCCGGCTCCATTAAAAACAAGATAAAACCACAGGAAGATATGCCTGGTCTTTAAAATGTAATTTCAATACTCTTAACTTCAAGAATAAGTTGAATTTGTATTTTGGTAATATAACTGTGACAGTTATTGTCAAACTATCATATTGCAACATCTCTTCCATAATTGTAGACATAAATCTAGTAATTCAAGTGGTTGAAGCATGAAGCAATCAAGGACACAATTTGTATTTTTATTTTCCACATTACCAGTTCATGCAGATGCAGAATAAAATACTACTGTGCTCCCATCGAGAAAATTTAATGCAAATCCTTTAGACAAGTATCTGTGAGAAGGGAATGCTTTTACCTTCAATCAGATTTGTCCTTTTTGAAATGAAGTTATTTCTAGTCAAGCTCAGCAGAATATGTGAGTCAATAGCCTGTTTTGAACACCTATTAGGGAAATCATGCCATCTTCTGTAAATACAATTTGCTTCCCAATTCTACTTCAGGTAATCTCTTCTGTGATGCATAAAGTCCCATTCTTATCACCAGAATGCAATGCCAGCTGAAATTTTTTAAAGTTTCATCACCTCCTCCCTCCTTTATATAATCAAAATGTATGCTCTCGCTGCTTATCAAACAGAGAAAATTGCTGGAATTAAGAGATAGCCTCAGTGGAAGGAAAAATAGTTTTCAAGAAATGTTAATTTCAAGCCCCTTTCCCAAGGTTGACCTTTGTGTCAAACACAGCAATACACTCCAGCTTAAATCCCTGCTGTACTCATTATTGGATACTGCCTTGTATTTATTGACAGATGTATAAATAAATTACATTTGCTGAATGGATAAAAACAGCAACACACTGCCAAGAAAGTACTTAGCTGCATTGTTTCTCTGTAATAGCCCAAGTGATTACATTTCTATCCCTCTTGCCACCTCCTGTTAAATCTTCTGTAAAAGATCAAGGCCAAGGCCAACTAGGCAATAAAATCTGAAATCTGGCACTATCTGTGTACACATATTTGGGTTTTTTACCTCCCCCCTCTCTTGAAATTGACTGAAAAAATTAGTGTCCCATTAAGTAGTTATGGATTGAAGAAAACTCGTCTATTTGAAACACATCAATCACATACTGCCTTACGTTTTCTCCTGTTCCTTACAATAAAATCTATGCCATACAAAAGCGCTATTCTCTATTTTTAAGTGAATGCTAACCACATTGCATGTATGTACTTTTTAAAAAAGTATCTTTCACATAATATGGAGTAATGAACAGAAAACCTACGTGTCTGTTGGTTACTTGAAAGAAACATTCATAAACTTCTGTAGCATTCAGAATTTTCTAACCTGAATTTTCCAGCTGAAATAAGTCAACTAATTTAACCTAGTTTATAAACACTTCACGTTTTCTCAAAATTACTCTTCATTTGATCAAATTACACCTAATATAAATTATATAAATAAAAAGTTCTCTAAATTCAGGTGTAATGGATTTTAAGTCTCAGAGCTTTAAGTGAGCAAACAAAAACTTAAGCATGGACAAATTCTAAGTAAAACCCCCAAAAGTTTAAAAGCATCAACGGTCTCTTGCAATTTAAGAGAACTTTTTGAAAAAGCTGATCAGTTAAAAGGCAAGTAGTCATTCTGCAGTGTAACTTTTGAATCGCAGACCACAGTTATAGGTGCTTTTTGTATCAATGATGCTGTTATCCAACTATCCTCAAAAATGGAAAAGACAAGGATTATCAAAGCTAGCTTTTGATTTTCTAACTCACAATGATTCACAGGATGCAAGATCAAGCTGCTATTGTCTTCTCTGACAGTTCAGCGGAAAAATGGTAACTTCAAGTGACAGATATCAGGAAAGGGATCGCTGACTGACACAGTCACAGATGATGACAGAATATATAGGCACTTACAAATAAATCCCAGTTTTGTAAAACAGATTAATCTGAGCAAACTATTCTGAAACCACGCCCATTTAAACCCTTGACCCATCCTGGGGAAAACCTTCACGCACCTGTAAGGTCGAGAAGGAGACTTCTTGAATCAATACTGCCGAGATATGAAAGCTACAATGGTCATGTTATCAGAGCTGGCCTTGAGGGACTTTAAATTCTTAAAAGAGCAACCATGTTATTTTGCAGCAGCTTGATTTTTATTGCCCAGCTACACTGTGGTTTCACCAAGGAACTACTGTCCCACTCCCTCTAGACTCCTCCTCAGATCTCTCAGAGGCTGGTGTCAGGTCACCACACAGATTTTTCTGCTGCACTACTATGAAGGCACATATCTTGGAGAACAGCTGTTACAAGAACCTCTACCAGCATTCTCCAGTAAAGTTTGTTAACAAGTTCTTCACAGCACTGCTTTTCCCTGACATTGACAGAGTGTTCCATAGAACAGAGAGCCCAGCAGAACAGACCAGAGGTTTTCATCCAGTTGGTTAAACTTATTAATGTACATGAATGCACTGGTAGTCCTCATCTTACTCCTGCTCCTCTACCCTCTCCATCACATCACCTCCCCAACTTCAACTCAGAAATTAGACATGCAGAGATGACAAGCCATACCATTCCTAAACGTTGATTAGACTGTGGTTGGGTAGAAAAGCCGGACCAACATTTGTGGCTCATGCAGGCAACAGCAGTTATAACTCAGCTCCTACCCATTCTGAGAGGCAGCCAGATGGCAGCCAAACTAGCGCACGTTAACTTTGAACTGGCCACATCACTGGGAAGCAGATTCACCTTCTGCATAATATGATGGGGTTGAGGAATAAGGGCCACATTAAACATATCCAAGGAAGAGCAGGTTTAGTAGATTAACTGGCTTTAATAGGGAACAAGTTGCTAAGAGACAAAAAAAGGCTAAAAATTGCAATAGAATGGAGTCTACCTAGCTAGAAAGAAGTCTTCGTGTGAGACTAACAATCTTCTCTTTAAACAATACAGAATTACAATTCAGAATAAATATTATCTCTCCTACTACATTTGTGCACATAACGAAAGCAAGCTTGCAGCTGTTTTTCACTAGTGTTACCCAGAAATAGACCTCCACTCAAAACTACCTTAATTCACATCAGCAATCTTTTGCCGCTACATGTATTAAGACATTTACACTAAATTGCTTTATTTGCAAGTAAAGGTACATACCCAGGGACTCTTTTTGTTAGTTCTTATGTGCCTTTTCTTTTGCTGCCATCTGTAACTTGCTTTTCTGGTGTTGCTTTATGGACTACTAATGAGGTGTCGTGGTTTAACCCGGCAGGCAGCTGAACACCACGCAGCCATTCGCTCACTCCCCTCCTCCCCAGTGGGATGGGGGAGAGAGTTGGAAAAAACCCAAAACAAAACCCGTGGGTTGAGATGAAGACAGTTTAATAAAATATCAGAGAAAAATAACACCACCACAAGTGATACACAGTGCACTTGCTCACCACTCAGTGACCAATGCCCAGCTCGTCCCCAAGCAGCGATCGCTGCCCCCCAGCCAACTCCCCCCAGTTTCTATACTGAGCAGGACGTCATATGGTATGGAACAGCCCTGTGGCCAGTTGGGGTCAGCTGTCCTGGTTGTGCTCCCTCCCAGCTTCTTGTGCACCTGGCAGAGCAAGGGAAGCTGAGAAGTCTTTGGTCAGTCTAAGCACTACCCAGCAACAACTAAAACATCAGTGAGTTATCAACATCATTCTAGTACTGAATCCAAACCACAGCACTATGCCAGCTACTAGGAAGAAAATTAATGCTATCCCAGCCAAAACCAGGACACGAGGTTAAGCAGATGTTTGGCAGCTGTATGCAGCCACCTGCTTTATAGATCCTCAGCATTCAAAGCTAAGATGTTGCGTTACAGGATAGTTTGGGCTCTGTAATTATCCACTGTCATTTTCACTTACTCTAAGTTAGCTTGTTTTATTTGAACACTGCAGAATTTAATTATATTTTCAAAATTAAAATCTTTCCACTGTAGATTCAGTTAAGTACGACTAATTTCTGACTTTATTTCAAAGGTGACGGAAGTTATGATTGGGTGCAACTGTCGGAGTGTATCTGAACACATTCCAGTTTTCTTCAGTTTCAAGACAGTTCTTCTGTTTCAAGTTCAAGTTCATGCCCTTTGCTTCCTGGTCAGCACAGGCATCTGTCCTTTTTGTTGCTTTTGGATATTCCCTTTATATTTTAAACTGATTTTCAAGGTTTCATGTTTATAAAGTACACACGTATAGTACAATTTTCACAGATTTAAGCTGTTTTCCCTCAGGGACTCACAGGCTAGAAAATCATTGTCACAGCTTTGCCAGAGCTCCAGCTCCTTTTATACTCGTTGACTTGTCTTTTGTAGTGAAGACTGCTTGATCGCACGGTGTTCAGCTTTGTATGTGGTAATATTTAGGGCACCACAGCAGATCAATTTCTCTCCTGCAATTTGCATCACAACTGACAAAAGGCAAAACCTAATTGTATTCTAGCATGCTTTATAAAGGTATAAAAGAAAGAGGCAGTCATGATCCAGAATAAGGTAGTTTATTAATGTCCCTTAAAAATACCTATATTTTTTCCTCCATTTTTAATGTATAGGCTTTCTAGCCTCAAGTTCTTATCTTATGTGTGTCAGTAAGGAACTCATTAAATACTTACTGAAAGAGTAAGTGAATGTCTGAATGAAAAGACAGTAGGTTGCTAGTTGGTTTTGTTTGCTTGGTCGTGGGCTATTTTTCAAAGTTTTATACAGTCATCTGTTGAAACTCAATGGTGTGAACATCAAACACAAGAAGAGTTAGTGCACCTGACCACTCAATTTCTTTGATTTCACATAGGTTTA